AATACACACATACACACACACAAAGAGGTATTTAGAAGAGTGTCCAGTTCATATTCAGTGCTGAATCAATATTAGCCTCCATCACTTTAATATATTATTTCTCTAATAAGAATTGTTAACATACCTATTACTACTTTTTTAGTATCAATTAAAAACAAAACCTTGACTTTTTTAATTTTTTAATAAAAGCATACACCTTTTTTTTAAAGATTTTACTTATTTATTTAAGAGAAGTGGGGTGGGGGAGCATGCGTGCGCGAGCATAAGCCAGGGAGAAAGGCAGATGGATAGGGAGAAGCAGACTTCCCACTGAGCAAGAAGCTCAATGCCAGACTTGATCCCAGGACCCTGGGATCATGACCTGAGCTGGAGGCAACCACATAACTAACTGAGCCACCCAGGAACCCCAGCTTTCTTTTCTTTTTTAAGATTTATTTATTTGAGAGACAGCAAGCACATGAGTTCGGGGGAGGAGCAGACAGAGAAAGTCTTCAAGCAGATTCCCCTGAGTGTGAAGCCCAATGCAGGGCTCGATCCCATGACTTATGAGATTACCTTAGCTGAAACCAAGAGTCGGACGCTTAACCAACTGAGCCATCTAGGTGCTCCTAAAATCTTGACTTTTTAACATAAAATGGTTTCTCAGAGGAAGTTAAGATAAAAACCAAATCAAGGGACAACTCATGGGTAGTAATTACCCAAAATCACTTAGTTAAGAAAGATTCCGAAATCTCATCTATGTTCAGAGGTAAAGAGCTTCAAGACTGGTTAGTTTTGTCTGTCACAAACAAAAGGGGTTTAGTGATGGCAATAATTACTTGCTATGCTACATCTATATGCTGCTAAGGTTCACCTTAAGGAATACTACAGAATATGTTATAATAAACAGTACATAACAGCAAAAAAGTCTATGAATTTTAAAATTCAGAAAATATGCTTCTACAAGCACAATAAAGGATGCCCAGGTGGCTCAGTGGGGTAAGCGTCTGCCTTTGGCTCACACGTCATGATCCCAGGGTCCTGGGATGGAGCCCCACATCAGACTTCCTGCTCAGTGGAGAGTTTGCTTCTCCCTCTCTCCATGCTTGTGCTTGCACACTCTCTCTCCCTCAAACAAATAAAATCTTTAAATAAATAATAAAAGCATAATAAAGTCAACTGATTAGTAATATCCTAGTAATATCTATAATTTGCCTAAATACTTTAATACCTTAATGTCCAAGTTATTATAAGATCTGCCTAAGTCAAATAAAATGTGAAAAGTCTTTAGGAAAAAAAATTATAATAACTATAAAAGCTAACATTTACATAGTGTTTAACATATGCCAGGCCTTATTCTAAACTTTTTACATATACTAACAACTTTAATCCTTCCAACAACCCTAGAAGTAGGTACTACTATTATTCTCAACTTTTAGATAAGGACACTGAAGCACAAAATGTTTAAGGGCTATGCCCAAATTCACATAGCCCGTAAATCTGAAGCAGTCTGGTTCCACTGTGTGTCGTTCATGATGAAGATTTAATGCCATATATAGAATTTCACAAGGCTTTAGATTCCATAATGTTCCACAATCATTCAAAGAGAAAAAAACCTCCCCTAGGCACCCAGTTTCCATCATGAGACTACAAAGTAAATAGAAGGGAGAAATCTGAATGCGAAACTCTGACCAACAAATAGTAACCACTGGATAGTTCTTTCAACTGAAAGCTGAAATTTGGTGTGTTAAAGACAGTTTAGGAATATCAACGTCAAATCCATGTAAGTATGGGTTTTACAAAGGCAGTTAAGACTGCTACACCAGTAAAGGTGGTATTACCCTTAAGCAACTTTCTTCTTACATCTTTTGGACACTGACTCTTAAAACTAGTATTCTTCCTCCTGCTTTAGTTACCAAGAAGCTAATATGGCCCTTCTCTAACAACCTTATGGAATATACTTCTTATATCTGAATCTAACTCCAGCTTTTCCTTTGGCCTAATTTCATCTAATCACTTTTAATCCTGTTATATATATGTATCTCAAACATCTCAAACCATCTGCCTACCACTAAGGTCATGATACCAGGGTCCTGGGATTGAACCCCATGTGGGGCTCCCTGCTCAGCTGGGGAGTCTGCTGCTCCCTCCCCCTCTGCCTCTGCTCATGTGCTCGCTCACTCTCTCTCTCTAATAAATAAAATATTAAAAAAAAAAAGACTGAGGATTTATAAATGAATCTGATATACACAAAACTGAAGACCACAAAAAATTGTGACCCAAAAGAAAAAACATATTATCTATTAATCAGAGTTCTTCAATACATTCTCAACAGTACACTCACATAAGGGAAGAGACTCTTATCTGGTTAAAAACTGGGGTTTGAGTAGATAGATTTCTATGCCAAAGTATTTTAAAATATTATATGAAACCAGTTTAAAATAGGCAAATACTGAGGCACCTGGGTGGCTCAGTGGGTTAGTCCTCTGCCTTCGGCCTAGGTCTGGTCTCAAGGTCCTGGGATTGAGCCCCGCATAGGGCTCTCTGCTCAGCAGGGAGCCTGCTTCCCCCCACTCTCTCTCTGCCTGCTGCTCTACCTACTTGTGATCTCTCTCTGTCAAATAAATAAATAAAATCTTTAAAAAAAAAAAAAATAGGTAAATACTGGGCCATTTCATTTTCATCAGTTAATGAAGCAACTCTTAAAATATGGTCCAGGCTCTCTCTCTCTAATAAATAAACATATTTAAAAGAAGAAGAAGGAAGGAAGGAAGGAAGGAAGGAAGGAAGGAAGGAAGGAAGGAAGGAGAAAAGAAAAGAAAAGGGGAGAGAAGAGAAGAGGGGGGGCCTGGGGCCTGGGTGGCTTAGTCGTTAAGCAACTACCTTCGGGCTCAGGTCCTGATCCCAGGGCCCCGGGTTGGACCCCTCCATCAGGCTCCCTGCTCTGTGGGGAGTCTGCTTCTCTCTCCCTAACCCTCTGCCCCTCCCCCTGCTCATGCTCACAATTGCTCTCTCTCTTTCTCAAATAAATAAATAAAATTTTAAAAAATATATATGATCCAGGAACCCTAGAGATTCAAACACTTGGTTTAAGTTTAACTCAAAACCTTCAGGTTTATGAAATTAAAACTACTTTCATAAGCTATTATTTACCTTTTTCACTCTAATTCTCTCATGAGTAAATGCTGTAGTTTTCAAGAAGCTACATGAAGTGGTGTGATAACGTTATCACCCTGACAGCTAACAATGTGTGCTTGATATTCTTGTAATCAAAAAAAGTTGTTTTCATTTCTAACATGGTAAATACTGATAGATAAAACTCACAGAAACTCTTTCGGTCTTCAATAACCTTTAAGAGTTATAAAAGGGTCTTAAGAAAAAAATATTTAAGAACTTTTGCAGTTTTCAAATTAAGCTCATACACTAATTTTTAAGAGCAGAAAAAGAACTGGAAAAGACAGTAATTTTGAACAAATGATCTAGCATATTCAAGAAATTATTCTTACAGAAAACATAATGTACTGAATTAAAGTTTAATAAAAAGACATAACACACTAAATTAAATAACAAGTTTAAAAAGTAACAGTGTTAACAGAATTTAAAGAATCTTAGTAAGCAGAAACTCTGAAAATACGAGCAACTGGCTTACAAAAGTTAGCAATAAGAAATGTGTAATTCTTTAGTCCAAGTACTACTTTAAAAAATTAAGAGGACCATTTCACAGCAGTCAGAATGGCTAAAATTAACAAGTCAGGGAAACAACAAATGTTGGAAAGGATGTGGAGAGAATGGAACTTTCTCACAGTGCTGGTGGGAATGCAAACTGGAGCAAAAAATAAAACTCTGGAAAATATAGAGATTCTTCATAAAGGTAAAAATAGAGCTGCCCTATGACCCAGAAATTGCACTAATGGTATTTACCCCACAGGTAAAATGTAGGTGATCTGAGGAGGCACCTGCACCCCATTGTTTATAGTAGCAATGTCCACAATAGCCCAACTATGGAAAGAGCCCCGATGTCCATTGACAGATGAAAGGATAAAGAAGATGTGGTACACACACACGCGCGCACGCACACACGCGCGCGCGCACACACAGACACAATGGAATATTACTCAGCCATCAAAAAAGCAGAGGGGGAGCCTAGGTGGCTCAGTCGGTTAAGCAACTGCCTTCGGCTAGGGTCATGATCCCGGGTTCTTGGGATCAAGCCCCACATCAGGATCCTTGCTCAGTGGAAGCCTGCTTCTCCCTCCCTCTCTCTGCCTGCTGCTCCCCCTGTTGTGCACTCACACATGTGCATGCTCTCTGTCAAATAAATAGGTAAATAATTTTTTTAAAAATGAAATCTTGCCATCTGCAAAGACATGGATGGAACTAGAGGATATTAGGCTAAGCAGAATTAAGTCAATCAGAACAAGATAATTTTATGATCTCACTCATTTGTGGAATTAAGAAACAAACAGAGGAACATAGGGGAAGGGAGGAAAAAATAAAACAAGATGAAACCAGAGAGGGAGACAAACCATAAGAGACATCTTAATTACAGGAAACAAACTGAGGGTGGCTGGAGAGGAGGGGGTAGGAAACAGGGTCACTGGGTGATAGGCATTAAGGAAGGCATTACGATGTAATGAGCACTGGGTGTTATATACAACTGATGAAATCACTGAACTCTACCTCTGAAATTAATAATATACCATATGTTAATTAACGGAATTCAAATTTTAAAAAACAAAATAAACTAAAATAATTAATTAATTGATTAAGGGGAAGCCTTGACACTCTGAAGACTAATCCAAAACCACATCTCACAGTCTTTTTTTGCAGTCAACGATGAAACAGCAAACAGGATTTTTTTCTTCAACAAAACCAAAACAGAACCCTAACTAAAGAAAGTTTCTAAGATAACCAAATAGTTGCTCAAAGGAAGAAAAGGCAGTTTTAAAAAATAATTTCTTTAGCATACTTAACACTCTTATTTTTCAAAAAAGAAAAATTATTTAGAAAAAGAAATGTACCTGAAAATGGCAGGGTTGCAGACATGCTTTGGATCCAATGCTTCTCCCTGTATAAATTCATAGCATAGTCCATTATTGAAGGTACAGTAGAGTTGTGGTGCACAGCCATGAGCCTGCAACACTCGGAAACTCTTCACTTCCTCATCTCGATCAACTAACAACTCAGTCTTATTGCCATAAATTCGCACCAGGACTACATCCTCCATTGTATTACTCACATAACAGCCAATAAGTTTATTTGTGATTCCATCTGTGAAAAGCTGCCAAAAAAAAAAAAAAAAGAAAAGGAAAGGAAAGGAAAGAAAAAATGAGGGAAAAAGCAATTATTTAACGAATGAAACAGCAGATAGATTAAAATAATTAAGTACTAATTAAAAGTATCTACTTTTTAACATAAGAAACTTTTAAATACAATTTTATCTTACATGTCTATAATTTTAATTCTAGATATAAAGATAAAGGAATGCTATAATTCCTGTAACATTATATCTTTCTTGATCCAAAAGTGTTAATTATTCAATCTCTAGTACTTCCACACAATGTTTTGATACCTATTATATCTCAAAGTATGCTTGTACTTCAATCATTGCAAATGTGTGCATATACACACACACACACAATTTCTCCTTTGTCTAATAAATTCAAAAGTCTCTGAAGACAGAGACACTGCTCTCCTCCAGCATGGCATATAACATATAAAAGGTCTTTAATAATGTTTACAAGTGTATACACAAATATACAAATATAAATCTACCATAAGTTACACATTGTGGTAAATCTCCAACTTCTAAAATTTAATTTTAAATGTTAATTTTAAGAGTTACTTAATACAACATGCATTAGAAATTGTTTTTAAGCATTCAGGTTATAATTCAAACTTGAATGCTATGGCTAAAAATGCACAACCCTAATTAGAGGAAGTGAGAGGTTAAGTAGAGATTTCTACAATATTTTCTAAAAGGGACTTTTGGGACTTTTCAAGAGCTTAAGTCAAAAATTTCAAGTTCTTTTTTTATATCTGAGCACAAATGGTACCTTTAAAAAGCAAACAGATATTAGCAGTATTAGTTCAAATCCACTCAAAAATTGCAACTTTCATTTTCCTCTGATACTAAAATTAATTTTTCTATTTGTTCAATTATAATCTAAAGCTTTTGGAGGCTCTCGGGTGGAATGAAGGGACAAGAGATAAAAGTGTAACCAAGAGTCAACGAAATTTTTTTCCCAAGAAAACTGGCAAAAAGCAAAAGGAAAAAGGGCCAAAGAGTAAATTTTAAATGAACACATATTTACCTAATGCCTGAGAAAGAATATAAATGTTTCTCTTTTAAGATTATTGTAATGATAAATGACGCCGGAAAAGGCTTTACATCTTCAGATGAAAATTTTAAAGTTATTTCTTAAGGTAATACTAGTTACTATAAAGTTTTTATATAAATTTCTTTATTGTATACAAGACTTGACTATTATTGACTACCTTACCCAATGTAGATAAATTGTATGAGCTAATGTAAAGAGACTTATTTTAAATATCTACTTTTTCAGGTATGTAGATAGATATAAGTATCCCTTTCCACCTAGATTTCACAAAAATAGTATACAGCATTGACAAGAAGCGTATTCACTTAAACTAAAGGTTAATCATTTTATTAAAAACTGTGTTGAAAAGCACGTTTATTACAAAGCCGTATCAATTTACACAAGTTATTCTGTAACTTTTTCAGATGTCATGTACAGATAAAATATTTCAATTTACTGTAACAAAGATTGAGAAACTAACCCTAACATTCTCTATTATACAACAGCCACATACTTCCAGTGAAATGACAGTCACAATAAATCCTTTAGAGTAAAAAACAAATACATGAATAATAAAACTTCGCATCTATAAAAATATTTTATGTATAAATAAGGGATAAAAACACCTGCAAAGATATTCAACAAAACTTTAGGAAAATTAAATCTTGGTTTTTTTTGTTTTCTTGTTTCTCTAATTTAAACTTTTTTTTTTTTTTTTTTGGCTTAGTATGTTTTCTCACTTTCTTTTTCCTGCAATGAGGCCCAAAAGTGAGGAACTGACCAGGCCTACACAGTACAGCCTTGTGGTTCTGCTGAACATAAATAATTTCACACAACACCAACATCAGATGAGGCCACTCTGACCACAATGGACCAAGACAAAACAAAGCCACTTTGTAATCATGTCTGAACATAGACAAAATTAAAAAAATTTTCAAGACACAAAAATGACTAAATATCCCCCTATTTGGGTTAATATGAATGACTGCTGTTCCTTTTCCAGCCACAGCTCTGGCCCTGCTTCATTCCTTTGGTCTTCTAGGTAAGATTAAGATATCAGTCACAGACTTGGCCCACTTTCTTCCTGACAGCTCCCAATCCAGAGGAAAGCCTGCTTCCTTGAACACTCTCCCAAATCAGCAAACCCAAATTCTATATTTAAGTCCCTTCTAACACCTACTTACTAAGAGCCCTACCATTCTGAGTGATATACATTCTTTCTTAAACCCAACTTGTTCACCTATCAGTGTGTTCCTGATGGTCTGTCACTGGCTTTAAAGATGTATGGATAAATGATTTTTGCCCTTGGATGGTTCCCACCTCATATATACACCTATAAGAAATTCAGTGTGCTGAACCTTCTGAAACATACAACAAAATACACTCAATGTTTATTAGATACATACAGTGTACTAGATATATACTAAAAATATAAAATTTAGGGGAGCCTGGGTGACTTAGTCAGTTAAGCATCTGCCTTTAGCTCAGGTCATGATCTCAGGGTCCTAGAATAGAGCCCCAAGTCGGGTTCTCTGCTCAGGGGAGCATCTGCTACTCCTGCTGTCCTCCCCCACCTTCCCCTGCTCGTGCTCTCTCTCTCTCTCTCTCTCCCCCTCAAATAAATAAAATCTTAGGAAAAAAAAATGTAAAATTTCATCTCAATGGAGGTGGGACAAAACTAACACAAATTTCACAGAGCTCCTTTTCTCCAGGATTATCCTATACTGTTTATCACGTATTTAGGATAGTACTAGCTCAGAGGAGGAGCTACAAAGCAAGACATGAGTCTGAATTTCTAGCTGTGTTATCTGTAAGCTGAGTAACCCTGGGCAAGTCACTTAACCCCTATGTGCTTCATTCTCCTTACATACAATATTAACATACTGGAATTTATTTCATAGCATGATTTGGATTAATGAATTAATATACATAAAAGCATTTAGAACAGTGACTGGCACACACTAAGATCTTAACATGTATGTAGAGAACTACATTTTTCACATTTTAACAAAAAACAGCAAAATAATTCACAATAAAAGAATGAATTAAGATAAAACCTATGTTACAGATTTATATATTAGCCCTAGACTCTAAGCTACACTGGTCCCACATAGCATACCTTAAAAGCAAGACCCAAAAGACTCAAACTATTCCCAAATAACTACAAAAACTATTCAGTGCCTAAGAAGGTAAAAATTCACAATCTGACATTCACAATCTGACATATATACCTGGTAATATAAAAAAGGAAGAAAAATATAATCCATAATGAGGGGGAAAATCAATTAACTGAAACCAACCAGAACTGACACAGATGTTAGGATCAGCAGACATTAAAACAAATATGTTCTGCATTCTATAACAAAAACTTATGCAGAAACACTGAATATAAAAAGACAAAAGTCAAGCTTCTCAAGAAGTCTAAGGAGAAAAATACACTAGATGTATTTAACAGTAAGTTAGATACTGCCCCCCAAAAAAGCAAACTTGGAAAGAGAGCAATAGAAACTATCCAAAACAAAACACAGGGGGAAAATTAACTAAATGAGAGAAAAAGTGAGCATGAGTGAATAAGCAAAGTATCCATGAGCAGAGAGAGTCTGTATCCCTTAAAAGAGGAAAAGAGAAACAATATTTTTTAAATGGCCAAAATTTACCCAAATTTGATGAAAAACTATCAACTCAAAGATCCTAGAAACTCAATAAGCCTGAACCCAAGAAATATAAGGAAAACAATACCATCACATCTCACAATAAAATTGTTTAAAACCAAAGATGAATCATCTAATGGTAACAGTACCCATTCATCTTACTTTCCATCTACTCAGTCAAATTTCAAAGAGGCATCCTTGAACCCTCTCCCTCCATCCCCCACATAAATAGATAATTCTTAAAACCTAGATGTAATTCTTAAAACCTCTGTTTCTGGGGTGCCTGGGTGGCTCAGGTAATGATCCCTGGATCCTGGGATCAAGTCCCACATGGGGCTCCCTGCTCAGCGGGGAGTCTGCTTCTCCTTCTCTCTCTCCCTCTGTGCTCATGCATGCACGCTCTCTCAAACAGATAAAATAAACAAAACAAAACAAAAAAACCTTCTGTTTCTTGGGATGGCTGGGTGGCTCAGTCAGTTAAGAGTCTGCCTTTGGCTCAGGTCATGATCTCAGTATTGGGTTCCCTACTCAGTGAGGAGTCTGCTTCCTCTCTGCCCTTCCCCCCTACTTGTGCACACACTCTCCCTCTCTTCCTCGCTCTGCTCTCTCTCAAATAAAATATTTTTAAAATTAATAAATAAATAAAATACAAATATGAACATGATAAATGGGAATCTTCAAATGGCCCCACACTGCTCCGAGGATAATTTCAAGCTCCTTAGGGCACACAAGTTCCTTGATACCTCCACCCTCAAGTTATCTAGCAATCTACCCCACGATTTCACCCTTCTTTTTTCTTCACTTCACCAACGTCTAACCTCTTCTAAAGTTCTAACATGAGGAGCGCTTGGGTGACTCAGTTAAGTGTCTGCCTTCAGCTCAGGTCATGATTTCCTACACTGGGCTCCCTGATCAGTGGGGAGACTGCTTCTCCCTCTCCCTGCTCCCCCCAACTCATCTCTCTTTCACTCTCTCTCTCTCCCTCTCTCAAATAAAATCTTAAAAAAAATAAAACAAAACAAAATAAAATAAAATAAAATTCCAACACAAAAGGGGCACCTGGGTAGCTCAGGTGGTTAAGCATCTTACTCTTGATTTTGGCTCAGGTCATAATCTCGGGGTCGTGGGGTCGAGTATAGAGTCTGCTTGTCCCTCTCCCTCTGCTCCTCCCCATGCCCATGCTTGCTTGCGTGCACGTGCTTGCTCGCTCTCTCTCTCTCTCTCTAATAAATAAACAAATAAATAATCTTTAAGAAAAACATCCAACACAAGATTTCTCTTTTCTAGGACAGAGTCCCTAAACTCAGGTAAGGCATAAATACTTCTCAGTGGTTAACTAGTACCCTATATATAGCATTTACTAAAATGCACTGTAATTGCTTAATTATATTTGCCACTCCATGTTCTACTATAAGCTCCTCTGAGATTTAGAACAAACTGAAAGAAGGAAAAAAGTAAGTTAAAAACAGGAATGTTTGACAAATAAGTCCAACAAAAAAAAAAAATTATTTTGAGAGAAAAACTCAACTCTGTAAGTAGTTACACTAAATGTGAAAGAACTAAATCCAATTAAAACACTAAGTGTGAAAAATATATATTTATATATGCTTCTTTTACAAAAGACATGCAAAAGAAAGTTGATGTAGTTACTCCATATTAAACAAAATAGATCTTAGCAATATATTCTGAGAGATAAAGGGATATTTTAAAATAATGAAAGAATGGATCATTAAGAAGATGTAACAATTCTAGATGTGTATCCATCCAATAACACAGCTTCAAATATATTTAGTAAAACTGACAAATTAATTTCATAACTGTTTGAAATTTTTTTAAATATTTATTTGACAGACAGAGATCACAAGTAGGCAGAAAGGCAGGCAAAGAGAGAGGGAGAAGCAGGCTCCCTGCTGAGCAGAGACCCCCCCCCCCGATGTGGGGCTTGATCCTAGAACCTTGGGATCATGATCTGAGCCGAAGGCAGAGGCTTTAATCCACTGAGCCACCCAGGCGCCCCATAACTGTTTGAATCTTGAGCACAGTTCTCAAGAGCTGATTTTTTAAAAACAGGAAAAAAATCATTATGTACACAAGCGATCTGAACAACAGAATTAAAAATCCAACTTAGTTGACATACACAGAACGATGTATCCAACAATACACATACTTTTCAAGCCTACACTAAATATTACCAAAATTGACTAAAGGCTTGATTATAAACAAGCCTCAACAAACATCAAAGATTAAATCATTCAGAGTACTTTCTCAAACTACAAGAGAATATGTACTGGACATCAATAACACAAACTGCACATAAACTTATACACCCCAAATAGATTAAGATAGTAAATTTTATGTTGCTTTTCACCAGAGTAAAGAAAAAGACTTTAAAATTCTCCTACTCATTTGAAATGAAGCCATAATGGATGTAAGTAATCTATGGGATGAAGAAAAAAAAGATAATTAGAAAACATTCTGAACTGAATGATAATAAAGACATTTCAAAACTTGTGGGTACCTGAAGGGTCACGTAAAAGAAAATATAAAAATAAAAAAGGCAGAAAATTAGTGATCTAAGCTTCCAGCTCAAGAAACTAGAAAAAGAACAGGCAATTAATCTTAAAAAGAAAAAAGAAAAAGTTAGGAAGAAAACAAAGGGGAAAATTATCAACAAAACAGAAAAACTCAACAATCAAAAATTGTCCTTTTTAAAGATAATGTTGATTACTTCTGAGCAAAACTATCAAGGAAAAAAAAAATACCACAAACTATCAGTAAGATACCAAAACATGTCAAGGACATTACAAGAGAATTATAAAGACCACTCTTCTCATGAACATAGTTGCAAAATCTTAATCAAAATATTTTTTACGGGTGCACCAGGCTGGCTCAGTCAGAAGAGCATGAGACTCTTGATCTCAAGGTGGTGAGTTCAAGCCCCAAGTCAGGTGTAGAGATTACTTAAGTAAAAACTTAAAAATATATATTAATAACTAATACAATATTTTAAAAAAGAACATCAGAACCAAATAGGACTTACTCTATGAAAACAAAGGTTTTTAACATTCAAATTTTTTAAAAAAATCTGTGTTATTCTGCTGAGTAAAGAAAAGTGGAGGCAAATCATACAACCATCATTAGATGCAAAAAAAAAGCACATGATAAAAATCAATGCTCATCTATGATGAAAACATTTGCAAACTAAGAATAAAATGAAAACTCAGAGCCCCTAGCTGGCTTGGTCCATAGAACATGGGACTCTTGATCTGGGGGTTCTGAGTTCAAGCCCTACACTGGGTACAAAGATCACTTAAAAATGCATACATACCTAAGTTAAAAGAGAAAACTTCCTTAATCTGACAGAGTAGCCAAAGAAAACCTACACACATCATACCTCATAATAAATTATTCTAAGTGTTCTCCCTGAGACTGGGAACCAGATAAAGATGCCCACTATCACCTTGTATTTCAACACTGTGCTGGACATCCTGGCCAGTGCAGTAAGGCAAAAATAATAATAATAATAGAATAGGAATAGGAAAGGGAAAAACAAAACTGTCATTATTTGCAGATAGAAAAAATGCAAAAAGCATACACATTAAACATTAGTTAATATTTGAAAAATTCAATACAGGGGCGCCTGGGTGGCTCAGTGGGTTAAAGCCTCTGCCTTTGGCTCGGGCGATGATCCCAGGGTCCTGGTATCGAGCCCCACATCAGGCTCTCCGCTTGGCAGGGAGCCTGCTTCCTCCTCTCTCTGCCTGCCTCTCTGCCTACTTGTGATCTCTGTCTGTCAAATAAATAAATAAAATCTTTAAAAAAAGAAAAATTCAATACAGATCAACTGAATTTCTATATACCAACAATCCACTTTTTTTAAATGAACCTTTTATAATATCAAAAAACATCAAATTCCTGGGCAGGAGATCAAATGAAACATGCAGTATCACTACATTGAAAACTTCAAAAGTCTGAGAGAAGGGGTGCATGGCTGGCTCAGTCTGTAAGACATGCAACTCTTGATCTTGAGGACATCAGTTCGAGTCCCGCATGAGTTCGAGTAGAGTTTACTTTAAGAAAAAGTTTGAGAGAAATAAAAGGACTAAATAAATAGGATATAGTTTGTTTATGGATTTTAAGACAATATTATTAATGATTTTACTTCTCAAATATCTAGATTCCACAAAGTATCAAACTGTCATCCAGTTTCTTTCGTGAAAACTGAAAAGCTAATAAGTGTGCAATTTATATGGCAATTTAAAAAGTCAAGAACAGGAGCGCCTGGGTGGCTCAGTGGGTTGAGCCGCTGCCTTCGGCTCAGGTCATGATCTCAGGGTCCTGGGATCAAGTCCCGCATCGGGCTCTCTGCTCAGCAGGGAGCCTGCTTCTCCCTCTCTCTCTCTCTGCCTGCCTCTCCATCTACTCGTGATCTCTGTCAAATAAATAAACAAAATCTTAAAAAAAAAAAAAAAAAAAAAAAACAGGGGCGCCTGGTTGGCTCAGTTATGTTAAAGCCTCTGCCTTCGGCTCAGGTCATGATCCCAGGGTACTGGGATTGAGCCCCACTTCGAGCTCTCTGCTCTCTGTTCGGCAGGGAGCCTGTTTCCCTTCCTCTCTCCCCGCCTGCCTTTTTGCCTACTTGTGATCTCTGTCAAATTAATAAATAAAATCTTAAAAAAAAAAAGTCAAGAACAGTCACAGCAGTTTTTAAAGAACAAAGTCAGAATCCTATACCAAGGACTACGGTAATTATATCACATACCAATACCCATAGCATTTCATCAGGTCCTATGCTTAATGATGTATGCTTTTTATTATCACTTATCAACAAACAAATTTTTATTAGAAAGCGTTAATGTAATATTCAGATCAGGAAGAACGTACTTTCACGGAAATCTTCTCATAGTATTCTCAGAGAAAATTCCCCAAAGCTTTATGGTTTTTAAAGCTAAAAAGAATTATACAGGTCCTTTGGCACTTCTCTAACTTCTACCTTAGTATTTTTTTCCATTTTTTTTTCAAGATTTTATTTATTTTTGCAAGAGAGAGAGAATGAGAGAGAGAGAGCATTCGCATGAGTTGGGGGGAGGGGCAGAGGGAGAGGCCAACTCCCCACTGAGTGGGGAGCCTGACTGGAGACTCCATCCCAGGATCCTGGGATCATGACCAAGCCAAAAGCAGACACTTAACCAGATGAACCACCCAGGTGCCTTCCACCTTAGTAATTCAGAGAGGAGATACAGATATGAACATATACAGATGGTCCCCAACTTACAGTGGATGGTCCAACTTACAATTTTCCAACTTTACAATGCTGTAAAAGCAATATACATTCAGTAGAAACCATACTTTGAATCTGAATTAGGGCTGGCAACATGCAATATGATGCTCTCCCATGAATATGGGCAGCAGTAGCTGCAACTCTCAGTCAACATGATCATGAGAGTAAACAACTGATATACTTACAGCCATTCTGTACCCATACAACCATTCTATTTTTCACTTACAGTATTCAATAAATTACATAGAATTTTCAACACTATTATAAAATAGTCTTTGTATTAGATGATTTTGCCCAACTGTAGGCAAGTATCACTGTTTGGGCACATTTAAGATAGGCTAGGTAGGCTAGGCGAGGGGAACCCTGGTGGCTCAGTGGGTTAAGCCTCTGCCTTCGGCTCAGGTCATGGTCTGAGAGTCCTGGGATCCAGCCCTGCATCAGGCTCTCTGCTCAGCAGGGAGCCTGCTTCCCCCTCTTCCTGTGCCTGCCTCTCCACTTACTTGTGATCTCTGTCAAATAAATAAATAAAATCTTTAAAAAAAAAAAAAAAAAGATAAGCCAGGCTAAACTAATGATGTGCAGTAGGTCATGTGTGTAAAATGCATTTTTGATTTAGGATATTTTTTACTTACACTGGTATTAGGACGTAACTACAACCTAAGTCAAAGGATATGAAGTGAAATGAAATTTCTCAGCCTACTGCATGTATTCTCAACACAGATCACCACCAAAGGAGCAAAAAAAAAATCTTAGGTATTAAAATAGTTTGTGGATCACCAAAACTCAACACTGACAAAATCCTATTCTTTGGTACATAATTTCTGCTAGGTAGAAAAAAAATTTTTTTAATTAATTTAAACTTTCTGTTTAGAGAGTAATTATTAAAAGGGTTGAGAAACAATGGCCTAGAACACAGACATATTCAATAAATGTTTGCTTATGCAGAGACTGATTGTAAAATACCTTAGAAATGATCAATTTATGGAATGAGAACACTATGGCCTAGATAAGTTCCCTTATTTTTTTTTTAAGATTTTATTTATTTATTCAACAGAGATCACAAGTAGGCAGAGAGGCAGGCAGAGAGAGAGGTGGAAGCAGGCTCCCTGCTGAGCAGAGAGCCTAATGTGCGGCTCGATCTCAGGACCCTGGGATCATGACCTGAGCTGAAGGCAGAGGCTTTAACCCACTGAGCCACCCAGGCGCCCCGATAAGTTCCCTTATTTATCCAAAGTTATACAATGGCAGAACAGGTTAAAAAGCTGGTATCGTGACTCTTAATCTGCTTCAAGGATATCAATCAAGTTCACTAGCATGATCCTAGACTCACTGTAATATTGCTAAAACATTATTTGGGGGAAAATATAAAGAAGCGGTTAGAGGATGATAAATTCCTAATGCCAGTTGCTTGCCAAATCACCCACAGTATTAAACAGTAGGCATGCTGCCATCTGTTACAGGAGGTAAAAGTAAATGAAACCTAGCAATGACAGACCTAACCCCAGGAGTTTAGTCACTGAATCCACAGTAAGATGCAAAATGAGAAATTGGCTAAATACACAATTCCCTGGCTATTGTTAGCACAGTACCTAGAACAGAAAACTAAAGACACTTTTAGGGTGGATTGTGACGTTACAAAGACCCAGATTCCAACTGGTCCAATGCAACATCAAGATGCTAACCTCAAAACCAACACAAAAGAGAAAAATCATGCTGAATAGTAGATTTAGAGCTGCTTACCAAAATGATTCAGGTGGCAAGGAGACAAAATCAGGAAACTACTGAAACCAGGGCATATAGTGTCAAAGTTGTCTCATTCAGTGGCTCAAGCTAGCTCCCTAAAAAAACTGTATTAATATGGCCCATAAAGATTGTTAAGTAAGAAGGAGTCTATGGTTTGAAGACCCTGGCATGTTTGCATTAATGCAGGATCCACACCTCACTAATGACCGTTCTTAATGGCAGTGACTAACCCAAACAAGAGTGCTAGTCTGGTACGATGAATCAAAGTGGCTAGAAAGTTTGTTTATCCTGAGAAGAGGAACTGTCCTGTCCTTCGCATGCAAAGTGGAATAGTCCAGATGAAGTAGCTGATATGCTAAACATGCAGGCCATGCTAGACTTGCTTTATAGTGACCAAGATATTCAACCACTTAATACGTCCCACCCCCAAGTCATGGTGAATACTGTGATAAAGACTTCTCCTACTATATGGTTCCCCCATATACCTTTACTGCTACCAA